AGAAATATAAGAAATATAAGAAAATAAAGATATTAAATATATTAAAGAAATATGTGAAATTAGAGAAATTGGAGATCTCTAAGAAATTAGTGAAATCCGAGAAATCAGAGAAAGTTGAGATTCGTGATCGACATGTTTACCATTCGTCAATTAGGTTAGGCGCAGTATCATGTGTCATAACAAGACTATCACTAACAGCATGCACAAAGAATTAAATGTTTTTTTATTTAAATTAACTAAAAAAAGAATTATATTTTTTTAATTATTTCTAATTTTAATTTAATTTTTTTATTCTGAATTAAATTTCGGAGGTTTTTTTTTATTTTCTAAGACTTGGAGGTAATTATTGATCTACCGATCAGAATTTCGACTCATATTCGCTGAGATGCGTTCTTCAAAACGATATGTGTTGCATATCTAACGGATCACTGGACTCAAGAAATCGTGGTTCAACCGCAGTTTGACGTCCGACACTTTAGAGTTAACACCATAATAATTAATCATCTAGATCAAAGATCTCAAAATTAAATAAAAACTAACCTTAAAAACATAATTTGATTTGCCATAATTGAAATTGTTGTATAACACAATAAATGCAGTCCGATTTTAAATGGGCTAGAAGCTTAAAAATCATACATACTATTTGGCTTGTAACATGATTTTTTGTACATTATTACTTATTTTTACTTCAAAACATAATTTGATCAGCAAATCCAAATCTCGTGTAGCGTCTAAGGCGTTTGTACGTTGAATTGTGTACTTTTCATTATAAAAAAGCAATAAAGTAATAAACCATTTTCTTCTAAACATATTCATTTTTCACAAATTTTATAAAAAATGTCTGAGCCTGTAAACCTTATCGAGAATGCGGTAGAAGAAAGTAAGCAAATTTTACGTACAGTATTTACCTAATGAATATTCTAATATAAATTTTCAACTTAGATATTATGAATGTGGAAGTGGAAGTTTTCGAGAATACGGGAGATGCAGGTACGTATATTTTTACCGGAGAACTTTTATACAAAAAATTTTAAAAATTTATTTCTTTAAAATAATAAATTAGTGCAAATTTTGGATATCGTGAATGAAGATATCGTGAATGAGTTTCATTCGGATGGTAAAGAATAATTTAAACATTTTACCCACCCATTAAATTATAATTCTTTAAAAAACAATTTTTTTTAAAAAAAAAACTAGAGTCAGGTTCATATCTCGAAGAGCTCGAAGAGACCGATAGTAAGGAATAATTTTTATGTTTCATAATAAATGTATTTATATAATAATCAAGTTTTTTATTTTTTACATCAGAATTAGAATTAGACAACGTTGAAATATTTAGTAAGTATAGTTAATCAATTTAACCTTCTTTAACAATAATTAACAAATATTTTTTTTTAAAAAAAAAAAATAAATAAAATATCGTAACAGATAGGATAGGTCGTTTTTCATTTGGATCAAATGCACCTGGTAAAGATAATTATACTTCTATCGAAATAATAATAATTGATAATTAAAAGCTTTAAAATGTGTGTATTTATTAACGACTTATAACAACACGACTACATTAATTCTGGCGGAATAAAAACTCTAATAGTTCCGTTTGCAGAATTTTTAGTACTTGTAAATAGAGTATCCGATGCATACAATGAAATGGTAAAAATATACCAATCAGCTGAATATAATAAAGAAACATGTGGGAATTTGTTGGATAAGGTTCAAATAGCTCATACAGCCGTAAGCAATTTAAAAAATCTTGATGAAAATGATGAATATTTTTCACAAGAAAATTTTGACAAATTGGATGTAGTGGTTGCTGTCGTTGTTGAAATTCGTGAACTTGCTGGAGAATTTACTCAGTTAACAAGTTTATCCGAATATGAAGATAAAATTAATAAAATTAATGATAAAATTATTTATTTTGATTCAAACATGATCAGTTGAGGTAATATGTGGTATGTGTATTATTCATTAAACTGATTTTTTAGTTATATTACGTAATATTATTTTACAAATCTTTTCTTTTCATCATATAGTATTTTTACATTTCAAAGGAATAATGTGCAAAATTCATTTTAAACTGTTAACATAAGATGAATAAATAAAAGTTTATCTTTAAATATTTGACATTTTTATCATTTTTATGAAAATCTTTCCAAATAATTAAAAAATAAATAAAATTATTTTCTAATAAATTAATCTGTTTTAATATGTTCCTTCCTCGCATTATGAACTGTTTTTTATTGATTTTCCTAAAATTAAAATAGTTTATTTTTAATTTTTAATTAGATAAAATTTTAAAGGTATTTATGATAAATTTTGCGATGAAAAATTATTTATCATAAAGCGTTTCTATAGTATAATAATGTTTTTTCTGCTTATATTTTGTGTAACATTTACATTTTTTTTAAGTTACATTGAAAAAAATAATAATTTAGTCTATTTCGCTTTTTTTTTGAAGGAAAAGATTAAATAGTTATATCATCCAAATTTTATTTTACAAAAAATTGAATGTGAAATTAAGAACACACTTAATAAAAAAAATCTCAATATACAAAAAAAAAGGACATTATTGTCCAGAAGACATCTAACTAAAAGTTATTGTTGCAATTAATATTAGCATATTTTTCTTTAATATTGCGAAGGACAACAAGAAACCAAAGGGATGGATTGGATGATATAGGAGAAAAAGCAATGCAGTATATTCATTATCATAGAAATTTACTATTAGCATTTATTAGTACGATTTTATTACATGTATTAAAATTCGACTAGCGATTATATTAGTTAGAGCATCGAAAATCATTTGACCAACAAGGTCCACTGGCCATAAATGTAAATCAGTCTCTTGGACAAATACAGTATGTCCTATTGTTTTTCATGTTATATAAACGGCGGGATATTTCCTTATTAAAATATAAGATACAGATCCATTGATTAATAATAAAATGTAAAGGAATAACTCGAAGTTTATTATTTAGGATTATCGGATATTTCGGGGATTTATTAATGAATGAACACCGTTAATAATTAATAAACGTACCTGATCGTATAGAGCGCCGACGTTGTAGGCTTATCTATGTTATAAGAAAAATACATAAAGCACGAATACAATAAAACCTTCTGCTTACCTTAAACTCCGTTTATAACCCATAAACACTAAAGAAATTAGAGAAATGCTATTATCACTATAATGTTTCGCTAATCATATTTCTATATTATTTATATTAAATGCAACTAATAAAATGTAACATTATGGGTCGTATGCTATTAAAATTAGGTTATGAGACATAGTAAATCATATGATCCGAACATGAGTTTTAATAGCATACCTCCCCTCATATGGTCATTTTCGTATTTGTAAAGAATATAAACTAAAGGGACCTAACAGAATGACTAGTCATAAGTTATTTAATTGTTTATTTTTTATTGTTGCATAAATGCGTAATTATAAAAGCATATAGTCCGATTGTTACAAGTCTTGGTGATCATTAATACTTAAATTTTTTACAAAATCAATTCGCAATTTAAAGTTATTGTACTGTAGATGCATCTGATAAAAAGTTATCAAGCATAACTGAAGAAGTTTCTAACTAGGTTATCAATATGCGTTTCCAACCGACTTTGATTGTATTAATAAGAGCCATCTGGAATGTTGGACGTAGAATTTTCCATTCTCAATCTTGGCTTTTACAATTTCTTTAACAAGACTTGACAGCGGAGCGGAGACGTCGTCCCTTTAATAAATGAGAAAAAGAAATTATGTTTGTTTCACAAATGGACTTATCAAGGAAGTGTTTTAAACGTTCCATTGCGCATTACAGTATTAATCAATAAAATGAGGACATTCTGCAGTTATTATATTTGATTGCTAGATTCTAAAGAGAATATAACCATATGTATTTTTGTGATATTATTTATCGGAATTTTCATATCGCTAATAGTCACATGCAGCTGATTATGATTTCTCGTCAATATAAGAAAAGTGAATATAATCGAGTACAATGATTGATGAAGTAATGGCGCAACACAAATATATAAATTTTATTAGCATGTTTGTTATAATTTGTCTTACTTGTACAAAATACTGATACGTATAACTGTTGAAATAAATATCTTTTTATATGTTTTGTAGCGATATATACCGCGTGATCTTTTGCAAAATATAATCAGATCACGAGAACCTGGATCGACAGATTCCCTGCGGCAAAGTCGGAAAATAAATGGACAGTGATGCGGATAGTTCTCATGATTCCTTAAAGAATCTATGATAAATGATGTAAATTATAAGATAACTTTACTTTTTCACAATTACTTCCACGGTTCATAATCGAAATTAATTGTACATTAGTATAATTGCATCATGGAAATCCGGTTAAATGATATTTCATTCGTGCTCCAATTGGCATCTGATTTCTAGACAATACTTCACGAGCATCGTAATTTTGATAAAATATATTTAACATCAAAGGTTGAATCTGACGGTTATGGAAGAAAGTATTTCTTTGAAAGGTCTGTGACTAATAAATTATAACTTACAAGTATCAAACATAGTCGAAACAGCATAATTCATGCCTATACAATCAGGGGTTTTCTGGAGCTAAGCTCACTTTTAGTATTTCGAATCTTTTTTGCCGAATTTTTTTGCAGAGGATGTTGGAAAATAGTGGTCTTTAAGTGTATCCTTGTTTAATCAGAAAGGCGGGTATCGACAATAGATGAAATAAGATTGCGTAGTGTTGTAATTAAATTGATTGCTACAACTCGAAGCGTAACAAGATTTTTTTTTAAAAAAAAAAAACTAAAAATGTAACTAAAAAGAAAACATATTGCATACAAATTATTAATAAAAAAATGATCATTCCAGAAGTAAAAAATTAAAAAAAAAAAGAAATCTGATTAAAAAAACAGACGATTTAACAGAAATAAATTTTGAAATAGAATGTCATGTCAATTTGATTTACAAGAAACTCAGCTAAATTTTTACCCGTTACAACATTCGTTTTTTTCAGATTCGGAAATAAATTGTTATTTGGCTTGCATACATATATAGCAAACAGCAGAACAAGTATAATTCCTATAGTAATAGTTAGAGTAGCTTTTTTATAAATGTCATAAACTTAATATTCAGCAAATAGTCAATTTGAATTTACATCATATTTTTGGTAAACACAAATTTAAAAAGTAAAAAAATATAGTAATATATTTATTAAAACGATATCTTGATTGAAAGAATTGTAATTTATTTTAAGCTACAAAAAAGTTAAAAAACTACTAATCAAATCACTTTAAAGAACTTCATCTATTTCATCTATTTTTTAAAAAAATTAAATTTAATAATTAATTTTATACAAATAATTTCATATTTAATTTATTTTATTAAATTACTTACTTATTTCGTCTTCCGTAATGCACAAAATATCTATATTTAAGAATTAAATATTAAAATTAAATTCATATAAATTTTTTTTATAAAATTTTATAAAATAATAAAATAATTACCGATACTTCGACTAATTACTAAATCTGTAATATTTTGATCTAGAATTTCATTTAGCTTTTCTGTATAACCAAGAAAACGACTTGAATGATATGTTTGTGAATCAGAATCAATGATAGATTTGTTATTAATAATTTCAAATGTAACTGGAATATTATTTCCCATCATTTTATCTGCGTTATAAAATTCTATAACATTTTCTAATTTAAAATTTTTGGTAATCATATTATCAACCCAGTGTTTAATAATCTTGCAAATTTTTGATGCATTTGGTCTTTTTAATGGATCTACATCCCAACAACTTGTCATTAAATCTATATAACTTTGTGGGATATTTTTATCAATTTTAGGACGTTGACCTTTACAAATATTTAAGGCGAGTTGAAAATCATGAGTATCATGATAAAAGGGAATAACTCCAGAAGTTAATTCCCACATAATCATAGAAAAACTATATATATCGCTAGCAAAGGTATAAGAATTCCCTCTTAATACTTCAGGTGCAACAAAGGGTAAAATACCATATATATTGCACTTTTTAGATGTTGATTGAAAATATTCTACAGGTTTACACAATCCTAAATCACTAATAGATAATATTCTTTGTGTAGTATTTAAAATATTACCATGATGAAAATCACAATGGATAAGGTGTTGCTGATGTATTTCATTAAGACCATTAATAATACTTAACAATCTTAATAATTTAATTATCCATTTCTGTTTAATTATTTCTGGTAAAATTTTTTTTAAACTACCTTTTCTTGCATAATTCATTATTACCATATAATCTAAAGTAATTGGATCTTGAGTAAATCCATATAATTTAATAAGATTTTCATTTGAATATTTTTTTAATTTACTATAACAGGTATAATGATGCTTCCACTATAAATAATTAAAATAGTTTAAAATAAATCCTCTAAAATTATGAAAAATTATTAAGCATACCTCATTTAAAAATTCTTCATTTAAATTTAATGAATTGTTAAGATTTTTAAGAGTTATAATATCATTTCCATTTCTAATCCATTTATTTTCATTATAAGAATAAGACTTAATATATCCATCCAACCAAATAGCTTTATATATAGTACTAAATCCTCCTTTATCAAGATATTCAATATTTTCAAGTTTTTTATAAGGAATCCATTCCAATATTAGCTTTTTATTTTGTGAATTCATTTGAGTTTGTCGAATAAATATATCAATAAATTTATTATTACTCGTCCAATTATTAAAATTTTGTTGAAATAATTTGGCATAGCAACTTTTACACCAATTATGTCCAGTATTTTTTTCTTTACAATTTAAGCAAATTCCTAATTTTCTAAATACATATTTTCATATTATTAGTAAAATTATTTCATTAATTTTAAAATAATGTATATATGAATACTTACTAAATTTTTTATATATTTGATTATAATATAAATTTGCAAAATTATAAATAATTTAAATAAAGTTTAGTAAAATTATATTTATTTTGAATAAAATATAATAGTATAATAAATGGTTTACCCCCTATAATATTATTAATAATTAAATATTTTAATATAATATTAAAAATAATATAAAATAGAAAAATCTTAACTTACAATCTATATTATAAGTTTTTTTTTTAAATAAAAATTAATTTAATTTTAAATTAAAAAGTAATTAATTAATTAATTATAAAAATAACTTACCATCTATATTTATCAATTATTATTTTTATTAAATTAGAATTTAATTATTTTTAATTCTATTAAAATTATAAATAATAAAATAATAACTTACTATCTAAAATAGTTGAATTAAAATTTAGTAATATAAATCATAATATTAACAATATTAACATATAATTAATTCATAAAAATAATTTACTATTTAAATCTTGTAATTATTATTAAATAAAATTTAATTAGATTTAAATTTATAATAAAAATTAATATTAAATATAATTAAATATAAACTTACAATCTAATTAATTAAACAAAATTAGTTAAATACAAATTGATTTAATTGATTTAAATTAATTAATTAAAATAACTTACCATCTAAATTATTAAATATATTTTAAAATAAAATATTAATAAAATATAATTTTTAATAAAAAATTAATTAAATAAAATATATTTTATTAATAAAAAACTACCAGCTAGATAATTAAAATATTTTAATAAAATTTATTTAAATTAAAAAGATAATTAAAAGTAATTAACAAATATAACTTACCAACTATAATAAATTATTAAAAATATTAGTAAAATTTATATAAGTAAAAAGTAAAATTAAATCATATAAAAAGTTTATCAATAATTTACCATCTAAAATTAAATAGATTTTTTTAAAAAATAGTAAATTAAATTATAAAATAATTATATTTATATAATTAATTAATAAATAACTTACAATCTTAATTATTAAATAAAAAATATTAATAAATTTAAATAAATTTAAATAATATAAAAATATAGTTAAATTCAATTAATAAACTAATAAAATAACTAACCATCTATATAATTAAATATTATTAAATAAAAAATTAGTCAAAAATATAATTAAAAAATAATAATTAATAAATAACTTACTTCCTAATATTATTAATTAATTAAAATTTAATTAAATTAAAATTATTATTATAAAATATAATTAAATATATAAAAATAACTTAACTAACTATAAAAATTAATAAATATTAAATATTTTAATTAGCTAAATTTATTTATATTAATAATATTATTAATAAATTAAAATAACTTACAATCTAAATTAAAAATAAAAAATTTTAATTAAATTAAAAATATAATCAAATATTATTAATTAATTAAATAACTTACTTGCTAAAATTGATTATATTTAAGTATAATCAGATAAATTAAATTTATAAAACAAGTAATTTAATATTAATAAGAAAATAACTTACTAACTAAATATAATCAATAGTTAATTTTTTAATAATAAAACTAAAATTTATATCTGATTATAATAAAATAACTTACAATCTAATGATAAATTATTTTTATAAAATTAGCTATTTTTGATTTTAAATTAATAAAATATTTAATAATAATAATTTACCTCCTATTATATAATATTTAAAAATAAATAAATTTGTAAGTTTATATATAATAAAAAATAAAACTTTTATTATTTAATTTTATTACCATCTAAATAGTAAATATTATAAATAATTATTCAGTTAATTTTAAACTATAAATTATAATAATTAATAAAAAAAAATAATATACCTCCTATTAATATATTAAATTTAATTAATCAAAATTAAAAATATATTTAAATATAATTAAAATGATAATATAATAATAACTTACGTTCTAAATTATTAAATATATTTTTTTAATTAGATTAATTAAATTTAAATAAAAAACTATAATTAAATACTAAAAACATACTATCTAGATATTATAATTTTTTAAAAAAATAATTATTAAATTTAATTATAATAGAAAATATAATTTAATTATAATTTAAATATTAATAACATACAATCTAATTATTTAAATAAAATTTAGTTTAACTTAAATAATTTAAAAGTATACTCAATTAATAAAATAATTTACCATCTAATTAAAAAAGTTAAATTAAATATAAATTAATAAAATTTAAATTATTTAATTGAAATTAATTAAAAAAAAGACTTACAATCTAAATAAAATATTAAATATTTTTTAAAAATCATTTTTAGTAATCTTTTAAATTGTCAATTTAATTAATTATTAAATAACTTACAATCTATTTTATTAATATATTATATTAATAATTTTGTAAAATTTTATTTATATAAAAAATGTAATTAAATAAAATATCTTACCAACTATAAAAATTAATAAATAATATTTAATATAATTAATATAATTTATAATTAAAATACAATATATATAATTAATTAAAATATTTACCATCTAAATTATTAAATATTTATTTTAATAAAATTATTTTTAAATTAGTAATATAATATAATAATTTAATAATAATATAAATAACTTACAATCTAAAATTTTATAATAAATAATTAGCTTTATATTTAATATTAATAAAATATTTGTTTAAAGATACTTACTTTCTAGAATAATATAAATAATTAATATTAAAAAATTAAATATGTAAAAAGTTTTAATTTTTAAATAATATATATTTAACATTAATAATAATAATAATTTAATTTTAATAACTTACTATCTAATATATTATAGAATGTTAGAATGTTATAATTTAATAATTTTAATTTACTATTTAAAATATATTGAATAATAAAATAACTTACAATCTAATTATTTAAATAAAAATTAAATTAAATAAATATAAAAAAATTTATCAAAATTAAATAAAATAATTTACCCTCTAAAATTAATAAATATTTTATTTATTTATATAAAAATAAAATTATTCATTTTATTAAAAAAATATATAATATTAATCCATAAAAAATTTTACCATCTAAATAAAAAATTTTTTTTTTTTAATAATTGTTAAATTATATTTAAATTTAACTAAATATAATTAAAATATCTTACAATCTAAATATTTATTTAAGAATATATATTTAATTTTAGTTAATTAAATTTAATAAGTATAATTGAATATATATTAAAAGTAATTTACCAGCTACATTATTAAAAATGAAATAAAAATATTAGTTTAAATTATAAACATAATTAAATATAAATAATAATTACTAAAAATAACTTACTTTCTAAATTATTAGAAGTAAAATTATAAAAATTTTAAAAAAAATGTATAAATAAATTATAAATAAATTATATATAATACTTACTATCTGTTTTTAAATTTTTAATTAAAAATCAAATCAAATTTATTTAATAAACGTAGCAAAGCATGTTTTATAATATTTAAATATCTTACATTCTATTCAAAAAAATATTTTTTAATAATATTTAGTTATTTAAATATAAATATAATTAATAATTAAATAACTTACCAACTAAATAATTACATATATTTTTAATAAATATTTTAGTTAATTACTTAAATATAATTAATTATTATATAAAACTTACGAGCTAAATGTTTAAATAAAATTAGTTAAATTGTAAAAATATACTAGTTAATTGATAAAAATAACTAACCATCTGAATAATTTTATATATATATTTTAAACAAAAATTTTAGATTACATTAATTATATTTAATCTTTTATTATAATTTTAAAAAATATCTTACTATCTGTAGTATTATTAATTAAAAATATGATTATAAAATTAGTAGAATTTAAAAATATGATGATAATAAAGATTAATATAATCATAAATTTAAATTTAATAACTTAACCAACTGTAATATAATTAAATCTTTTGTAAATATGACTATTTTAAATTAATATAATGATAATAGTATAATAAAAAACTTACCAACTATAATTTTATAAATTATTATAAATAAAAAATTAGTTGAGTTTAAATTACAATAAATTGTACTGTATATAACTCAATAATAATAGCTTACTCCCTAATATTTATTATAAAATAATTTGATTAATAAAAGGTTTTAATTTTAAATTATGAAACATTAAATAACTTACAATCTATAGTTTAATATTTTATAAAAATTTAGTCAAGTATATAAGTAAGAATCGATATATAAATTTCTAACCTTTTAAATCTTTGCTAATATTTTGCATATAATTGATTAGAAAAAATTGTAATTTTAATTATGAATGGAAAAAAATTTATACTCAACTCTCTGATATCATAAATAAAATTAATTCATTAAAATTATTATTTCATTCATCTTATAAGCAAAATGAATGATCATTACCTCCTATTAATTCAGTAAATTTAAAATTAATTAAATATTTAAAAATTAAAATAAATAAACTATTATATACTTACATCCTAGTAACTTCTTCACGGGCTTTTACCGTCCATGTATCAATTGCATTGATTTCTAGCAATTTATTTAAATCTGCAAGTGATTCTACATATCTCTTCATCATATAATAAGTTTCTCCTCGATATTTTAAGGCAAATATGTTATTTGCTTCAACTTCTAGCAACTTTATCAAGTCTGCAAGTGCTTGCTCATATTCACCTATAACAAAATATAATTTTCCTAAGTATTTTAGTATATGTGTACGATTTTGTTCAGTTTCTGATGATTGTAATTGTATTAAATCTTCAAATCTATTAATCTGTTGACTTATTAATTTATCATTGTAAGGATTAAGTATTTCAACCCAATTCTTTTTAAAAGATTCATCAACATCATCATCATTCATTGCTAAAAAAAAAAAATTAATATTAATAAAATAAGTAGAGAAAAAATACATTCGACATATTTACCTGTGTATTTGAACTTTCTATCGCCAAAGTTTGCTACTATAGATCCATCTGTAGACATCATTCCAACACAAGGATACAAAGTTCCTTTTTCCAAATCTCGGAATGCAATACCTTAGATATAATATATATCAATTCTCTATTGCTTGACTTAAATAACCAAGCATGTAATACGATAATAATCACCTAGATTCACCCCGTTTCTGGTATAAAATACCGTATTGTTTCTAAAGCTTAAACAACATCCAATAGTATCACCAGTCATAAATTTTGGTCCATATTGTTTGCCATTATCTTTATAAAACTTGTTTCCATCATCACCATGATAACCCCACGAGCTATCTCCCCAGCCTATAATTTAAATAATTAATAAATAATTTCATTTAACAGATGACAAAAAAAAGGTAAATTTACCAGGCATCATATTTAGACTTGCTGATTGTGTGCTAAACCCAATCCCAATCTGCCTTTTAAATTTGGAAGAATGAATTATAAGTAATTTTTAAATAATTTAGCATAAAAAAAATATTTCTCGTTTTGCAACTCACCCATTTTTCCCTACATCAATAATGTCAATTTCAAAATAAAATAATCCACATTGCTCAGGAATAGGATGATTTGCTCGAATTGCAGCACAGTTCTTAACTTCACCCGGACCTTTATAATTGATTGAGTTGTTATATGCAAGAATAAGTGATTCTAACAATATTTAATGTTACAACACGAAAATAAATTCACCTGTATAAGTGACTGTAAGCCTATCCGGATTTATATTTAAAAGATTACGTTCACTATAATTCCATGCGGTTGGTGAATCCATATTTTTGCGAATCCTATTATGCTAGAGTTTGATTATTGAAGTATGATGATGGCTTGATACTTGAATAGTATGGATAAATGCTTTTACCTTCTTTTTAAAAGTTTTTATTTATTTTTTTTTTTTTAAAAAAAAAAACTTTAGAATATTCTCGATTCCCATTGCTATTTATATACATTAGATTTGTCATACAGTAAAAAATGCATTCTGCATTTTTGCGCATAATCAAGTTCGGATGCAGAATTTGTGTTACATCAAATGAAATCTAACAACGAATTTTTTGTAATTTTTATTAAAAGTTTCGTAGATATGAATGCACAAGTCGAATGTAAAAAAAAGAGAATTTATTTTAACTGAAATTTGTTGCGTTTATTAACTATACTATAGCAACTGATTTATGTAATAATGCTTCGAGCCGCATATGATTTGCTCCGCATCGCATCAATTGTTGAATTTATTATAAAAATAAGTGTGGTGTATATTAACGAAATCAAAAAAAAAATTTCGGTTTATTTTTTTGAAAGGTAAAGTAATAGTTTATCCATAATATTTATAGAAAATTTAAACTATTCATATATTCATATAAACTATTTGATATCAAAGTGATTTTTGTTACTTAGCTCCTGGGTTATGTATTAATATTATGAGGGTTGCGACTTGTTGTATTCTATAAGCTTGTTATCGCATCAATGTTTGGAGAATAATACTAGAAGCAAAAAAACAAATTGTAATGTTAAATTAATTTTTATTTTTTATTTTTATTTTTTTAAAAAAAATCAAAAGATGAGAAGGTAGAAACATTTTATTAAAAAATAATTCTATTGTTACAATACATAATAAAAATACATTACAATTAATAACAAACAAAAAAAATTAAAGCATTGCGGATCATTGATAAAATGGACTTTTGCCGCCGACCAGCGTTCTCAAATCATGAATCATGTATAAAATCAGCGCGGTCTGTCAAAATTATTAAAAAATAATTCTAATGTTACAATACATCATAAAAATACATATTAATATTAAAAAAATTAAAAAATTAAAGCATTTCGGATCCTTGATATAATGTCCTACTCTCAAATCACGTATAAAATTAGCACGGGTTATCGAAAGTATTTCGAAAGGTGACGTCTTGCTGTCTCCGACCGTGCCTTTTGGTTGCCTCTTGAGCATCTCATCCATTTCCCTTACTATCCCGGGAACTATAATCATACAACATTGATTAATTCATACTCAAACTAAATAAACATAGTCGATTAATACATACATATCATTTTTTTCCAATTTTTGCTTTGGATCACAAAATTGGTCCCATCTACTTCTACTTTTATATCAATACCTTCGTCGTTAGGACCTATGTATTAAAAATAAAGAATAAAAAATAAAATATATTAATCAAATCCCAAGTGGCACGTTCACAGTCACGTATGTTTGAACTTTCGATTCGTGATTCGTGTTTCCTGCTCACGATAAATCCCTCAGGCGAGTAAGCCAGTGCAGGGATATCAGAACGCTTACAGCCGAAACTTTGACCACTACATTTTACACCAAGTGGCAGCGTACTTCACGACTCAATTAACTTTGCGAGAGATACTCACCCTGTCCACTCTGGTTCATATCCTTCATATATCAAATCTTCGATGAGGGTACGTTCTAACGCTCTGCCTATTGCGACTGAAGATGTCATTTTCGAGATTTTAGAAGTATATTGTAAAGTTTTAGTTGTATTGAAGAAATTAGATTTCAGATTTCCCTTTAATGGCCTAATGACGAGTATATATTCTTTTGTGACTTTTAACGAAACGAAAGATTGATAAAATAATTGTTGTATTGAATTAGATTTCATATTCATTAGTAAAATACTTTTCCATGTGTTAGTCACATGCGAAAATTTGTGATCCAATCATATCTTTATTTTTTAGAAATTGTCGTCTAATTATAAGTTCAAATATATATTTTAAAAGACGTTTAAATTTTACAAATATTCTATTATAAATAAATTTTTATGTTCTCCAAGCATATTTAACCATGGGCTATTGTTATTAGATAAAAAACTTATTATATAAAGAAATCACATAAATCACATTGAGTCAAATTACTATTTACAGCTAAGAAAGTTTACTAACTTAAAGAATATCTAAAGGTAAATTTTTTAAAAGGAAATTTTCAGCAGATTGCTTTACAATATAAGGCTAACTAAATCTAAATATAAAAATTATTTCCAGTCTCATTTTTAATTTTCTATACATCATCTTATCTTCGCCACGTTCTTTATTGCGAGTTGCTATAAATATATGGACAATAACAACTTTCCAGTCAAACAAGTGTGTTTTTAGTAGTAAAACATTTTTACTAAACATACTAAATACAATTAAAATGGATTTTTTTGAAAATTTTTTTTTTAAAAAAAAAGGAAATTCTGTTTTTTTTTTATATGATTTATTAAATATCTAAATAATGAACGAAGCTTTATTTATTTATTAATTTTAAAGAATTTATACCTTAAATAAGATAAATCGATAATAAATATGAATATAGAACTATAATTAACCTTAAGCTAAATTTATTATGTGAATAAATTTTAGCTTGATATATGGGAGGCAGTCAGTAGAAAAGGGGGAAATTAGCCAAGTGGTCTAATAATATAAATTTTGATCAAAATTTAGATTTCCCCTTTTCTACTGACCGCCTCCCATATACATAAATGACATTGTATCTTTAATTACCTCACGAATAAGTTTTTTAAAGTGGCATTGTTAAAATCATGAAATGAATTTAATGCGAGATGTTGCTTCGAACTTGAAAAATTCATTATGTTATTGATATTGCTAGTCTCTTAAAATAGCTTAACTAATTTCGATACTTCATTGATTCAGAAAGTTCGCTAAATTTAATAGTTTCTGCTTGTCATTTAGGCACCATTTTTATTGTCAATTCAATCAATTTCTATGATTTTAGCGATATAACCATTAAATAAGGATTATCTGTGCTGTGGATCATGTGAATATAAAAAACCAAATTTTGTGATATTTAGCATTTATCACAAAATTTTGTGATTTATGATATTTTGCGGAATGCCGCCATAAATCATCTCCAGGCCTCGCTCAGAAATTGAGTCAATACGTGATTGGTCTCTTTCGTTACACTTGTATTCCGAAACGTTTCTTAGTTATAGTTAGACACGTAAAAACGCGTAAATAATCATTTGATAATCAGTAACCAGTCTTTAAGATAGAAGTCACGTTAGACCGTTAACATCTTTAGCTATTATGATCTAAATCATAAAAAATAATTTTTTATATTTCAAAAAATGGCAACATATAAAGAAACAAATATCAAATTAAATAATGCAGAAGCGAGCTTGGTGAAGGCGGAAGCAGAGTTTGAAAAGTGGGAGGAGGGAAAATATAAAGGAGAGAAATTGAATGAGTTGGAGGCAATGTTAATAGAGAGATGAGTGAAGCAGGAAGGGCAAGGGTGGAAGGATGGAGAGATAGGTTGATTAACGAGAAGAAGCAATTAGAAGAAAAAAATCATTTTTGGAGGGGACAGGTAGAGGAGTGGGGAAAGTCGTTACGTGAATTTGGTAAAGAAGAAGGTAATGAAGGTAATAAACAAATTGCGTAAAAAAATATACAAAAATTATTTTCCATTCATTCCGTTTCGTTTATTTATTTATTTGCTTGTATGATCATTTGGTGTACTGTTTACAACATCGACTGACTTCTGTTTTATAAAATGAAAATATAATATACTACCTAATTATATTTTCTCTTTAATACTCATAGGTAATCGAAGGAGCAAATTACCAGAAACGTAAGAAGGTATGATGATAAAAAATACCAAATTTTTTCCATGTTGAATGATATTTTTTTTGAATAATTGTGATTAAATGATTTTATTAATTTAGCGCAAATAAACGTATCAAAGAAAAAACAAAACGATATATCATATGAAATTGTTCAAGAGATTTGCAAACCATTTGAAAGGATTCCTTTAATAGAAGAACTTATGGAGATTCTTATGACACCATTTGCCAAGCCCATTCCTATTGAAAGTAATTATATAGCACGTTTTAGATGGGACAGAACTGTTGTAAATCACTTCATAATAGATAAGAATGAATTGAATGACGGATATCTTACTGCACCAGGGATTTCTACATCTATTGAAAATGCTTTGCGACGCACGCTAAGTTTTGGAGGTGAAATTAATCTGTCTAGTTTGATCAATTGCATCATACAATATCCGCTTGAAGACTTTAGTGATGTTCACGGTCTAATAAAATTCCCAATAGCTCGAAATATCTCTGATAATCCTTCCACAGAAACGGTAAAGAATTTGAGAACAGATTTTCTAGTTTGGTTAAATGGAAAGATTTTGATTTTTAAAGGAGAGGATAAAAGGTACTATGAAGAATTCGCGTTAGCAGAGAATGAGCTTACTTCAAAAATGAAGAGTTGGAGTATTTTGTCTTATGGTAGAGTTCCATATATTTTTGCGTATGCAGCAGCAGGAAACGCCCTCAAATTTTATGCCATTAATCAAGATCGGGAATTGAGATCAGTTTCTCATCTATTTGATCTGTCTACCCAAAAGGACAGGCTTTTCACAATTGTCATTACTGTTAACATTTATCGTATTTTACTTTCATTTGTTGATCTTATCCCAGACTATTCCATAAAACTATATGATGAACTTTCTCATTCTCATAACACAACCATTTCTATATTAGATGACTGTATTGTCAAAACTATTGGCAAGTATTCAACTTTTATGAACGACAACTTTTCCGTAATGAAAAATTTTTATAAGGATACAGCTCATGTTGCAAATCTCATACATGCACGTGATTTAAATGGTCGACCGAGTTATCCGACTTTACAAGGAAACAGGTACAGAGTAATTCTATCACCTCTTGGATATTGTTATGAACCTCAAAATGAAAGTGAACTCAAAGATGTCATCAAGACAGTTCTCAAAGTTATCAATGAAATCCATAGTATCGGATATGTTCATAGAGATATACGTTGGCCGAACATCCTTCGCCAACCAAATGGAGATTGGTTGGTAATTGATTTAGAATATGGAGGAAAGGCTGATGAAGCGCCAAATTTTGGACCATTCATTGAATGGTCGCCAGAAGCAACGGCGAATGATGTATACAAAACACAATATGATATTTATCAGATAGGAAGATTGATGGCAAGCAAATTATTCTTCAAGTCAGAGGAGTGTGTAGACTTACAAGAAAAGCTTCTTGCAACCTCAGATCAATATTTTACAGGCAAAGAAGCTCTTAGTCATAAATGGTTCAATTGCTGAAATGAGAAAATTGCAATTTTCTTTCGTTTTTTATAACAAGTACATTGCAAAACTATTTTCTTTGAATAAGGAGCGAAAATATTATTCTTTAAAATGAAAATGTACCGTGCTGGTCAAATAATAACATTTTCCCGATTTAATTCTTTAGTTTGGTTGGAGTAAATTTTCTTTTATGATTCGTGAATTATTATTGTTGCATAAATCAATCGTAAAAAAAATAAAATAAAAAAAATTACTGATTATTTCATGTTGCAAATTTTTTAAAACAAATAATTAAACTGTTTTTATAAATTAAGATATATAAATGGCCCAACCATTTTAACCCTTTATTCTATAAAATTAAAACTTGTTAGCTTGCTAACCTTATTTAAAATCTATTTTTATCTTCAAACATAATCATGATTAAGTATATTTAAATTCTTGTTCTGATACATCTTGAAATTGAAAAAATAAAGGTAAATAGAAAATTGTTTTGTAATAAGAAAAAATTTTTTAAGAGGAGAATTATTTTTTTTTTTAAAAAAAAAAATCTTTATAAACAATTATAATTACGCTGGTTTTAAATATCTGTAAAACAAAAGCATGTATGCATACAATAATACTTATTAATTTTGATTGTTTAAATTATTAAAACTTATTACAAAACAATAAATATATATCTTTTATTTGTTTTTATAGATTTCAATTAAATTAAAAAATAATAATACAATCCTTTTGAAAATACCATTTTAAAGTTTAAAAATCTATAAAAAAAAAAAGATAATTTCTTTAAAAAAAAGAAAAAGAAACTTGATTATAATATTCTTAAAATAATAATAAAAAATTTTCAAATTTCTTTTATAAATTATCCATTTAAAATTTAAATATTCTAAAACTAAAATTTGTTTAAAATTCTTTTTTTTTAAAAAAAAAACAAATCTTAAAATCCAGATTGAAATAGCAGAATTTGAAAAAAAAATAAACAAAGTTGGAAAATTTATTAAAACTAATCAATATATATAAATATTAAAATAAAAGAAATAAAACCTGATATTATAATTAATTTATATAAATAAAATAATCTTTACTAGATAAGGATAATTAATAATTTATTTATATATTTGACATATAAATAAAATAAACTAAATAAAAATTTTAGTGAAAAGAAATCTAACTTATTTATATTTATTTTACTTATAACTTTATTTTTACTTTATTTATATTATTTAAATTGCTTTTTTCGCTTAATTGGTTAATTGGAATGTGTGTCATACAGATCGATATGAATTAATTAATAAATATTTTGAATTAGAGAAATTGTGACATGAACAATTTATCTGTGTTATATAATGTATACAGTGAACTCTTGATATAACGAATTCTAGGATCTGGATATCAACTTCATTATAAGCTTATAACGAATTTTT